TCTCAAACCCTCTAAAAACATCCTTAGCACCTCACTAGCCTGTCCCTAACAATTTTTGCAGCAGCAGATGGCAGAGGTGGCCAGATTATTGGCTTAAACCCTCTGCAAAAATCTTATAAATACCTCTAATTTCTCTGAAAAGAGGTTGTTTCCATCAATTTAAAATCATTCTCTACTACTCTAGGAAGAAATTCCCAGCTTCCAAGCTTGCCTCGTGGTAGTTTCCAACGAGTTTAAGTGGGCTTCGACGATCCCATTCCGAACAAAGTTTAACTTCTTCCCCAATCCTCCTCAGGTCTTGCATCCTGAAGGAGAATTATTCTTGAGGATTAGACGAACTCAACCCAATTAAGCTCTCCTTGGTGTATTCATTTCTGCTTATTCCCATGTGTATCTCTATTCAGTATTATGGCACGTGTAATTGACTGATGGATATATATAAAACTCAAAAATGATAGATTGATAAAGTGCTCGATAGATTGCGCTAGTGCAAAGTATTAGTCCTACTATTAGTTCTGATTTGATGACTCTATTAGTCTAGTAGCACAGTTGATTGGTTAGGCCTAGAGCTTGATTTCTTTTATCAAATCTGATGATGTAGATAGGCATTTGCATATATTTTTGAAATTAAATCCTCTAAGATTTACAAGAATTATTGAGTCTAGAGCAACAAAGAACTAGTTGATAAGGTTCGAGAAGACTTTTGATGGGATGCAATGTCTTTCGAAGAGGAAGGTATCAATGGTTGTGTTTTTTATGGTGAGATTGAGCATTGGTGGTTGAGTCGACAAAAGGAGAAATCTCAAGGATGCTAAATTCCTTGATCTACTAGGAGGAATTTATAGATATATCTTTAGATCCTACTAGGACTAGTTGATAAGGCTCGAGAAGACTTTTGATGTGACACTGGCTCTTTTTCCCATAGGTCAACGTGCCCACTTGCGTCTAAGGCCACCACCTCCTTCTTAATTAGGTAAAAAAATGGACTTATTCATCTCGTCCTCTTAATATTTATGTTTGTGCATGACAACCTTCTTTAGCCTCTTAAAGCTTGACTTAGCCAACTTAGAGTCAAAATCATCCATATTAATAAATTGGTCACATTTGCAAAAAGGAGAGGGTAATGTAGCAGTGCCACATCCCATAAGCTAGTATTTATAAGTAATGGAAATGGGTAGGTTAAATCAAGGTAATAATGAGAAATTTATATGATACCAAAGGGTATAGTAGATACAACACAATAACTTCTATTTACAATCCTTTATTGTTGTTTGTGGTAACATTAAATGTCGTCTTTAATTCACTCATCATTTTTGTAAGTCACATTTTAAAGGATCAAGTAAATTGAGAAACTAAACGTATGAATTAAAGGATCAAGTAAATTGAGAAACTAAAAGTATACTCATACGTGACCATATGAGTACTACATGGACATCAAACGGATCTTTAGAGGAAACCAAGGTCGAATGGTCACGTCTCCCACGAGAAGAACATGCCACAAGGAAATGGAGTTACCTAGAAAATGGTCAACACATTGCACATAAATATAAATAGTCTCTTAGCAAGGCCACCATATGAAGACACGCCTATATAAGTGGTACCAAAGAGTCGTCACACCAAGTAAATCCCCCAAAGAGATTTTTTGGGTTCATTTGAGCCAAAAATGACACTTTCTTTAGCAGTGAGTTTAATGGATGGTTGTAAAATCAATTGAACTATTGAATGACATACCAAAAGGAGGATGAATTGGTGTTTTTAAAATCTTTTTCAAAAACTTTTCCTTTTGAATTAAACAACAAACAATTTCAAATTTATAAAGCATAAGCAAATAATAAAATAAATGCTAAATTAATATTTTCTATTTTTTTGTACATAAATAAATATTTTTGTTCTTTTTTCTATTTTTATTTTTTTTCAAACAAAGACTAAACTTAATCAACCACATATTGTAATAATCACCAAACTCAAACAAGATTGCATAATGTAAATATGCAAGAAAGTAAAATGTACAAAATAAAATGTGAAAAGAAAAAAAAAACCAAGCAAAAAAAATTTTTATAGTGGTTCGATCAAATTGTCTTGCGTCCACTCCCTGAAGTCCCCTTTTTTTGGTATTGCACTAAACTCTTTGTGACTGTCTTTCAGCCCCAAAGCTAGATAAAGAAGCCTTACAAAATCATTTTCACCTCCAAGGTGTAGCAGAGAATTGGAATTAATTTCGCCCTCTAGTTGAGGCGAAGTAACACAAATCACTTTTACTCTCTTGGTGAGGAAGAGTAGTACGAATCACTTTCACTCTCCTTGTGAGGCATAGTAGCCTAAATCACTTTCACTTTCCCCATTGCGGTGGAGTAGTCGGTGACCCTTTGACACAAAAGGCTTCTTTACATAGTTTCCCTCAAGATAAAACTTCACACAAAGAGGAACAAAGGTGAAAGTTAGTTGGAACAACCATGTTAAATCCTCCCTCTCACACTTCCTTTAACCCACAAGGATCTTCTCCCTCTCTCACAACTTCACCTCTCTCTCCCTTGTATAAAGCCCACTCTTCAAACCCTCACTTATGAAAGACTCAAACTCCATACTATCAAAGACTTCTAAGAAGTCTATTAAGAAAACTTAAATAGTGGGCTTCCAAAAATCATAATAATTCAATTATACCGATTATGTTCATACATTACAACAAAGGATCGTACAATACATTAGTTCAATTGTCTAACTATTAGTACAATATGATGAATAGTAATACAATACAATCAATTCAATTTCTTTACTGATTGTATTCGATGAATCAATAGTAATACAGTGCAATTAGTTCAAATCAAACAACAGATTATACAGGATGAACCAAAGAGTCCTCGAGTGATTTATACAATATGATCTATAATTAATGCATATATGATTTGATTCCTTAATTATCTAACTTAAGTTAGGCAATAATTCAAAAGATCATATAATATGAATGTCTTCATAAAGTATGAACAGTTCAAATTTTAAAATTCAAAATTGCTTATTTTAGGTATGTTAGATTCGACGGAGAGGTTTTTGGCTATAGCTAATCATCATGTATGATGTGCTGGTCGTATAATATGATTAGATATAATTAAATTTATATATTTAAATTAATTTCTATTTGAACTAATTATACACTGTGTGATGTGAATCATACAGTGCAATTAACAGAGAAATTAAAATATTTATTTTTTACTATGTGTGTGTGCACGATTGCTAAGTTAACATACACTTTTTTACATAATTAACTCAAGAAAAATAAAATTATAGACTTTTTTCAAACAAGCCTAACATATACAACCCACTATTGAGTTCTAATTCTCTAACGATCTTGTGTATAATTAATCTTAAATGTTAGTATTGCATACAAAAAATATGCAATATATAGAACAAAATAAATTAAAAAAAGTCCAATAATGTTATTAATTATCAGAACATAAAGTCGAGCTCCCGAATTGTAACAAGCAGAAGACGTCCATATATGAATATTCTCCATAAGCCAAGGCCACTCAACGACCAATGGCATCACATCCCAGCTAAATGAAACATGCTCATCTCAATACGATCTCACACTTCGGAAATTCTCAACCCACTGCCACTGCACCCAGGAGAACTTGCCTCTTTACATTCGGAAGTCAGAATCTAACATGAAACGAAGTCATGATGACATTTAAAGGATCCTTCTTCATAGAGTAGTCTTGTACATGGAGACCCAAGGTCTTGCTCTCCCCACTTCCCCAAGAAGGCTTGATCAAATGAGTCATCCGAGATTGAGATTCATATGATAGACTAAGGCTTCGTTTGGGACGGCTTTTTTCCTGCTTTCTAAAACGGAGTTTTAGTACAAAATTTTTTATTTTTGTACTAAAACTCCGTTTTAGAAAGCAATAAAAAAGCCGTCCCAAACGAAGCCTAAGATCCACACATGGAAATTGGCTAAGCCAAGTGTCCATGATAGCTTGTAATGTGTGCATCATCTGTAGTGCCTCGTATTATTTTTAATTTAATTAGATTTAGCATTTTCTATAGTTCTTCAAAACGTACAATTAGAGGGTGAAGTGGTATACGTAGGATCTTTTTGGATCTTAAAAATCTTTTTAGTGCTTTAAGACTTGAAATTGAAATACTTTACTTTCCCGTTCTCTTTAACTAAATTCCATATATATTTTCTCTAGGACACGCAATATTTTTATTCTCCATACTAGTTTATTATCAAAAGTAATTCACGGAATTAGCAAGCTAGCACCCATCACCGATTTGCAAATATGGAAAATTAAACCCTCAAAAGCAAACACATTGCCTTCATCACTAAAGGAAAAAACGTGAGGAACATGAACTTTAACCGATACCAGCTCATTGTTTTGAACTTGAACATCGATAACGACAAAAATTGATAAAACTTGTAGAACCTATTATAATACTACCAACACACACACACGCACGCGCGCGCACACACACACACACACATATATATATATATATATATATATATATACAGTAAATTTCTCGGAGTTCTAAAGAGAAGCTAATGCACAGTTATCGCAAAAAACAAAAGGTTTTACATTGCACAAGTGCAATATTTCCCTTCTCAATTTAATTTACGTTTGAATTTTTTTTTTTTTTCTCTTAATTTGGCTTCTTCATTCTCCAGAAAATTAGGAGTCTACTTATCAATACCGCAGATTAGGAAAAACTGAATTACTGGAGAAAACAATGAATGAACAGAAAAACAAAGCTAAAACTGACCTTGGGAAATAAAGAAATTTATTTTAAACAAAAATCCTAAACAAGAAATTTCTCCTCCTCGGCTCGCATTATGACGATTAAAAAATAGTCTCGAATCGCGACCAATTCTAGACTAAAAAATAGAGGCATGAACGAAAAAAATTTGTATGCACTCCGCTAAAGATCATATAAATTGAAATTTAAAAAATAAAAAGGAAGAGATTAACAAAGAAATACGGCAGAGAAGCAAAATAGAAACGTACGCCTAGGGCGGCCTGGCCATTGCCGGTTCCGACATCCCACGCTAACTTATGATGCGTCGTTAACGAAGCGAACTTCGCGTACCACTCCGTTGAGTAATTCGGCCTCGCCGACGCGTACAATTCGGACTGCTCCTCGAAGAGTCCGGCCATCTGGCTTTCCACCCCTTCCTTTCTCCCTCTTTCTCTCACTCACTACTAGTACGACCAAGGTTGGAACCAAAATTTTCTTTTAGATGGACAAGCTTATTTGTAAATAATTAAATGTTAAAAATAAAAAATAAAAAAATATATAATAACAATTCAAAACAAAATTTAATATTTAATTATGCTTGATAAATAATAATAATTATAAACTTCTCGGTTTATTTTTCTTTTATTATAATACTACATTACTATATTATTAAGAATAAAGTTTACTGAGTTTTTTTAATATTCGGTTGTAGACTCCTAAAATTCGGTCACGGCCTCCCTCGCTGCTTTCTCAGAGGGATTTTTAACGAAATTAAGTTCCGGGGTAAATTTTGAGAAGACAGATGAGTTTATAGATAAGACACTATCTAGAGATTTTGTACTCATTTTGTGAGGAATTTATGATCTGAGTTCTAGTTTCCTATAGACGCAAGCCCCTATAGCTAATTACTCCTCTTGATAATGAGAGAGAACTTTTTATTAAGGCTAGTCATCAATCAGATACGGAGAAATACATGTTCTCTGACATATAGTAGCAACATGGGCATGAGAATTAGAGAGTTTGGAAATTTAGTATTTAAAATTTGAAATTTCATCATCTTGCACTTAAAGTGAATGGTGAGGGAATAGATGATGGACCTGATCGAGATCCCATGGTTCTGTCATCTCGGCCATCGTGGACCCATGTCTACTTAGTCAGAGGAGGTAGTCGACCCAACCTGACAGAAGGATCATTGTCAGCAGCCATGAGTTGTATTGTCCAAGGGTACCTTATAGACCTCGGGTTGATATTTGTCTGAGGGGAAAAATTTAAAAATTCACCTCAGTTAATAGAGGGCTTTGTATCCTATCAATTATATCATTTTGATTTATATCTCAAGGATTTGATGTCATTAAGAAAAGTATTGGCTCTGGCCATAATTGTAATTTAGTGGTGCCATTTGGCAGAACCACTCAGTTCAGAAGACCGCGAGTCATAACTGTTTATCTTGTGGTGTCATTTCACAATATATTATTTGAGAATTGATCATAGTTATATTTTCGACCAAGCATTGATTCTGTAAGAGCTGAAGTAAATTTTAATTTATCCACCCCAACAAACTATTATTGAGGGTGGATGAATTTTTCTTTAAGTATTTTATGGTTGGATTTCAATTTTAAATATATGAATGATATTTTGTGAAGTTTTGTATTTTATGGGTATTTAGCATAACACTTAAAAATATTTGAAATTAACTCCTCTGGTTGAGATGGGCATTCAACACAGCCATCATCGGGGTAATAGGGTCATTCATGTTTTTGTATTTTGTAAAAATTAAGAGCATTTGAAAATGTATGATCCCCTCCGATTGAGATAAACATTCAACACAACCATCATTGGGATGATTTTGAGATCACTTGAAAATATTTGAATTTTGTTAAAGTTTGAAGGTATTTGAAAATATGTAATCCCCTTTGGGTGAATCATTCTATCAATGCGACCATCATCAGGGCATATGGGGTTACTTCCATTTATAGATTAATCCTTATCAACTTTATCGAGTTGTCGGTAGATGATCGGGTTTCATAGACTTTATACCTTTATTGATTAATTTTTATATTCATAGGCCTTAAAGGCCTTATATGGACGTATAAAATAGATATTTCAATCGACACATTGATCGTATATATGTTTGATAGTTCGAGCTATATCGACTCCTATCTATCCATATAGAAGGATCTGGCTCAAATTGGGAATCATTTATTGACCCACGCAGTATCCCAGTACATCACGTGTATACCCATAAGGGTCTTGTGATTACACACGCCCTTCTATGTTCATATGTGAATATATATTAAAGTGCATGTGTATGGGCATTTTAATATGTTTGCATGCAATGCGACGGGATGTCTAGCTGCATAGGTTATTATTACTGCCATATGCATGAGGCTTTATTGACACCTTTTATCTGCTTATATGAACATTATAGATTTAGTGGCGTAGCGTCATGCATCAACAACCCGTGGTTATTACTACGGATTCCTTGCTTTTACTTAGAAGTGAATCGTAGCGTTGTCACCTGATTGCCACGAGATACCTCTTTGTTCTAATGTAGACTCCCTTTTCACATTCATCAGGATGTCTTTTTAGGGCTCATATAGGGATCAATAAGTAACCCTTCCATTATGCCATCATCATCTTTTTTTGTTATTAGCTTAAATAAAGAATCAATCATTTCAACCTTAGATGATTGCATTCTTATTGACGCCTTAGACTTTGAAATCAGTAGTTGCTGCCTTGAAAATAATCCTTTTCAAAATCTACAATATTATGGATTTTTATCAGATGTAGCCTCTATGGTTATGTAGTTGGTCTCTGAGATAAGTTGAGGTATTTGGGTGCTCTTGTCGTTCATGACTTTTTCAATAAGAACAATAATATAACCACCATGGAGGTATTGAAAGAATTTGCAATTCTTGAAAGAATTTTGGAACACCACGAAGTTTTGTTCAAATTTACTCAAACATCACTTCCATTGTTATAGGAGGTGTCCTTCTCATGGGAGAATTCTATCTAAGAAATAAATAGGTACTTGTATTACTTTGTTGAACAACATCAATAGAGGTGGTACCGTAGCACTATTAGTGTGCAAGGTATATTGTGTCACAATGCCAAACTTTGAAGATCATTTATATTTCCAAGGCCTATAGATATTAGAGATGTTTTCTCTCGGACAAAAGATAAATAAGAAACTTTAGAACACCAAGAAGTTTAGTTTGAATTTGCTCATACATCTCTTCCATTCTTACAGGAAGAAGGGTACCCTCCCTCATACAAAGGTTTTCTTTGAGGAGTCGATCGATGCTCGTATTTGTCATATGCTCTTGTATATTTATGTTCACAAGGGTCTTTCATAATATACCCACTATTGTTATCCACAAATGGATCGTGTTTATTTACAGAGACCAATCATATTCAATATAATCTCCTGGAAGTGTTCGTAGAAGAGCCATTGTTCCTGCATCATATCAACCTTTCACCAATCTCAGGTGGTTTGATATACATATTTGCAATGATGAGTCTTCCACTATTGATTGCCAATGTTGTTGTCTTAATCTACAGGCATCATTGCTTGTGTTGGAGATTCCAATAATGCATATAGAAGATACCTATGCATTCGGCAACTATATTTTGTCCTTACAAGTACGGTGCATTTGACATCATAGGGATTATTGTAGGATTCCACTATATCTATCATGTATAAACCATCATCATTCATTGTGTGCTTATGTATTCAAATATTGATGATTGATCTTTGTTTGTGATTGTTTAGATGTTGTGAAATGCCTATCTCTTATTATTTGTGTGTACTGAGGTCTTATTTGTCACTCGATAGTGTCGACATTTCAATCCACACGAGTACTATTGCTTGCATAAGTAGATGTAGGAGACACCTATGCATTATGTAATTTACTATTATTGCTTGCAAGTATATGCAGTACATTTGACTTTGTAGGGACTGTTGTAAGAGTCTACTCTATCTATCCACATCATTTATTTTGTACCGTATATTCAGGTATTGATGATTATCCCAATTTATTGTTGTTTATATTGATAATCATCCATTGTATTTATGCCTTGGGGTCTTTATTCGTCAATTTCTAATGTCACCCTCACAATCTACATGCTAACTATTATTTGCATGATGGGTCTTTAATTGCTGCATGTGGATAGTACTTGTGCATTTTATAGTTGACTGATGTTGAATTTAAGTCAGCTGCATTCGAAAGTTGAAAGTTCGTTAGGGATGTTAAGCCCTATAGAACTAGCCCAAGCTAATCAAGAGGGGGGGGTGAATTGGTATTTTAAAATTTCTTTTCACAAAGAATAAAAATTGTATAAACCAAAATCACACCACAAAAATAAATGCGGAATTAAAAGTGCGGAAGCAAAAAATAAGAACATAGAAATTTATAGTGGTTCGGTCAACTCGACCTACCTCCACTCCTTGGAGGAACTCTCCAAGTATTGCACTACAAAACGTGACTCTCCTTTAGCCCCCACGGCTAGGCGGAGAAGCCCTCACAAGAACCTCCTTTTTGCCACCCCGGCAAGGCAGAGAACCTACCTCCTTTTGCTTCCTCCTGAAGCTGACAGAGAACCACAACAAAAATCTAACTCCTTACCTCTACCGACCTTTCCACGGACGAGAAACTCTAGACGAAGAACAAGCAGAGCGATCCTTGAAGCAACCCTTGTGAATCCCCTCACAAGCTCCCCCTCACAAGATCCTCTCTCTCTCCCTCTCTCTCTTTCTCTCCTCAAGGCCTTCTCAGGTCAAGGAAGCAGCCAAAGGCCCTTTTCTGGTGCTATAAAAATCAGGCCAATTCTGACCTTTTAGGGAATTATGGATTTTAGGGTTTTTCTCCATTGAGATAAAGCTTTACCATTAAAATACAATTCCTATACAAGGTCATCAAATTCCCTCAAACTTATGATTTATTCGTCAAGTAAATTTTTATTTAAAGAAGAATCCACCATTAGCGGTGTGCCGCGAGGAAGTCGGCAATGACATGTCCTTTAACAACACCTAGAGGAATGAAAGTGATCTTGAATTAGAATAATATCATAGATGACCGAGCCAAGCATCTTGACAAAGTAGGTCGAGCTATAAGATATTTCACGGGATTAATTCTAGAAATCAAGCTAATTGAATGAGAATGCATGTAATACCTTAGGTTTTGGAATGGAAAAACTAAAGAAAGACAATGCTTCCGATTGAAGGATATCGATTTTTGGTAGGAACATGTCTTCAGCTAAGGTAATAGAGGGAATTCTATTTCCCCTCATCATTGACTTGAGCTAACAAGGCACCTAAAGACTAATCTAGAGCTGCAATATAGAGGATCAAAAGTTTCCTCGAAATAGAGAACCACTAATACTAGCAGATTAGAAAGATATTGTTCGATGTTATCAAAGGCATTCTAATATTTGTCATCTCACTTGAATTTAGCATCCTTTTTAGCTAGGATGGAGAAGGGTTGA